GGTGAGTGAGTGGGTTGAGTGGGTGAGGGGAGTGGGTGGGTGAGGTGGGTGAGTGGGTGAGTGGGTGAGTGGAAGAGTGGGTGAGTGGATGAGTGGGTGAGTGGGTGAGTGGGTGAGTGGGTGAGTGGGTGAGTGGGTGAGTGAGTGAGTGAGTGAGTGTGTGCGTGTGACAGGCGGGAGGAGGGACGGGAGGACGGAGGAGGAGGAGGAAGAGGAAGAAGGCGGAGCGGATACAGCACTAAAAACAAAAACCCCACACGTCAATGTGGGGAAAAATATAATGTATATATATATATATGGTGATCGATCTAAAGGTCCTTGTAAGGAGTTTTAATTGCGAAAGCCGTGCATGTTATGTTGGAAATCCTCGCGAAAGTTTTTTTTTCGATTTTGCGAAAGTAAAATTTTATTTCGCGAAAGTTTCGCGAAAGTTGGGTATTATAATCATTATATGTAAAGGGCTGCCACCCACTGCCGCCCGGGGTCCGGCAGGAAAAGGGCACCAGAGAATGCGAGTAGCAGTAGCCAAGTTTCCAAAAGTGAGGCTTTGCGAGAGCCAAACACCAAGGCCCCTGGTCTTCGCTTTTCCTTCAGTGCACCCCCTGCTGATGGCCGGGGTCTGTGAATAGGGATATTTTCGCGAAAGTTCCGCGAAAGTTATGCGAAAGAGCGGGTGAAAGTCAAAGTGCATGTTGAAGGGGGTGGGCCAGTAAACTTTGCAAAAAAAATCTGTCCTGAGAAGGGATTCCGTGATGCTAGCTGCATGTTTAAAAGGCTACCAAGAAGTGATCCGTGATTCTCTGGCGTAATTTGGCAGGCGGTGAACGAATCTTCATAAGAGGTGTTGTTGGCCAACATGGGCCCCGCGAAAGATAAACATGGAGTTCGCGAAAGTTTCGCGAAAGTAAAATTTTTATTCGCGAAGAATGGCCGTTCCGGGATAAAGGAATTTTGATCAACAACCATATATATATATATATATGTGAAAGTCTGAGGGTGCAAAGTCTGTGGGTGAAAAGTCTGTGGGTGAAAAGTCTGTGTGCGAAAAGTGTATGGGTGAAAGCCTTTGGGTGAAAAATATATGGGTGAACAGCCTCGGGTGAAAAATATATGGGTGAAAAGCCTGTGGGTGAAAAGTCCGTGGGTGAAAAGTCAGTTGGTGAAAAGCTTGTGGGTGAAAAGTATCTGGGTGAAAAGTCTGTGCAAGAAGAATCTCTGGGTGAAGAGTCTCTGGGTGAAAAGTATGTGGGTGAAAAACCTGTGGGTAAAAAGTATATGGGGGAAAAGTCAGTGGGCGAGGAGTGTATGGTTGAACCGTCTGTGGGTGAAAAGTATATGCGTGAGAAGTATGGGTGAAAGACTCCGGGTGAGAAGTCTGTGGGTGAAAAGTATCTGGGTGAAAAGTCTGTGGATGAAAAATCTTTTGGGGAAAATAGGGGTAGGTGGGATGCTGGCTTTCGTTTTCCCCCTTCTCAGGTTGGGGCCATCTTAAAGCAAATCTAAGTATCCCCATATGAAATCCCAAACGCATATGACATTGTGGCGCAATGAAACCTGCGACGCTGGCCAAGGGAACTGGATGGTGAAACCGCTGGGGTTCGTTTTTTTTTTGGCTGCGAAAGACATGAAACATCTGGAGATCGACTGGACACAACGAATTTTAGGGACAATCCTCTGATTTTGGTGCATTTCAAACACAAATTACCATGGAGTTTGGCAATATGATGAACCATGAATTGGGCAAAGCGAGGCAGATTCATGGACATCTCAGGACAAACATGCCGGGTAATTGTCACAGCTTTGGAATTGGTTTCAGGATGTTTTGGGGAAAATTCTAAAGTGGGCAGACAAACACAAGCTAATACATGCAAGGAAACTGTACTTTGAATTAACATTCATTGTGAACATGCTTCCATCAGGAGGATTCCAGATCTACGATGGCCTTGAAGGCCATTCTTCAGACCTTGTGAGGTGCGTCACTTCAGGGGAGAGTTTTGGTGAGGGCTGGAGTCTTTATCATGTTTTTTCACTGATCATTTGATATGTGTGGATAGTTTTTTTGTTATTGTTGTTCTTTTTCGATTTCTCATGAGTTTGATGATGTGGATGTGGATGTTTGATGATGTTTCTCAAATTGTCTACTGTAGCCCCTGTGATAATATCTATGGGACCAATCCTACTGGGTTTGTTGGTTGCCACATGGCTGCTTAGCAGTCGTGCTTGGTATTGTGTCCCAATGATGTGAGGAATGTATCAGGGGATGTAGCCAGATAGTTTAATAATATTTTGCCAGAAACTGGGGAATATGTTACCCATCTTAAACAAAAGATTTACAACGTATCTAAGATTCGGAATGAGTCGGAATGAGGTCATTGTAGGTACCTACCTTAGGCGTAGCCCTTCCCGGTGGCAAAAGAGCTACGGCTTTCACGACTTGCCTTGTCGCTCAGGATGAGTTTTTGACAGCTGGGGGTCCCAGAAGCCAGGACTGCTTCTCTTTTGGCTGGAGGAGGCTTCAACAAATCTCTACTTGAGGGCGATATCACTTGACCTTCGGGGAGCAGCCTAAATCCAGGCTGATTTTGACAACATGCTGATTATAAATCCTGATTTCTGATAAAATGCATCAAGTGAAAGTTATGTTGAAAATGTTTCTTTTCCTCTCCACGTTTCTAGTTCATCCATCTTCGTGGCTATAAAAGCAAAAATTTTGGGCCCCCTGCCAAAGCAGAGTAAACTGCCACAAAAATCCACTAGGTTTTCCGGTGCCACACGTTGAAAAAACCTCATTGGTATCTGGGGTGAAATGGGTTTGTCTGAAAATGGGGCACTGTTAAATCCAATGGTTAATCATCATTTTCCATCATTTTCCATCATTTTTCCATATTATTTGTAGGAAAAGCACCAAGTTCAGATCGCAATTAATGGTGGGTCGGACTCTGCAGCTGTCAATTTAAGCTTTTTGAGACAATGCGCGTCATCAAAACCATGGTCAGTGGATGTTAGTGGCACCTTGAAAGCCGCACAATTTCGGAACTGACATCAGAAATTGGGGATATATATCTTTGAATTCAATTGATCACTGATGGTTGGTTGATGGTCAGTGATAAGAGGTGTTACTATGTGATTCCTCAAGTCTTTCACGAAAAAACATCTTGGGGTTTCCATCACAGACTGGGGAATCACCCATAAAAGTCCCAAAGCCAGCAAAGCTTGGTGATTGGCCGACCGGAGCCACCAACTCCCCACCATGGCCCTGTGGATGTACGGCTTCTTGGTGGTTTCTGCGGAGCTTTCTGGCCAGAATGCCACTGTCCATGGCCGGAACCTTGAGGAGATTGTAGACTGCGGTGTTTGCAAGGCTGTTCCTCTATCTACTTGCAAATACTGTCATGAGGGTAGCTCAAGTTCTTCCCAACCACGGCGAAGAAGCTCGGGTGGCTCTAGTCCTTATCTTTTCCAACCAATAGGACGAAGAACAGGTACGGCTCCAGTGCCCTCGCAAGTAGATGGCTAGCCAGCCTCTACGACTGCGGCACGTGCGTTTGTGTTCCTCTCAAAACTTGCAAATGGTGCCCAGGTGCCTCACAACCAAGACCAAGAACGGGTAGCTCAAGTTCTTCCCAACCACGGCGAAGAAGCTCGGGTGGCTACAGTCCGTCCCCTTCGCAACCAAGAAGACGAAGAACAGGTGCCAATACGGAGATAGGCAGCACCAGTGCTTCTCAACCAAGAAGAAGAACTGGTAGCTCAAGTGATTCCCAACCACGGCGAAGAAGCCCGGGTGGCTCCAGTCCTTCCCCTTCCCAACCAAGAAGACGAAGAACAGGTACAGCTCCAGTGCTCTCGAGTATACCTGGCTGCCCAGCCTCGTACGTCGACTGCGGGGAGTGCCTTTGCGTTCTTCTGAGCACCTGCAAATGGTGCCCAGGTGCCTCACAACCAAGACGAAGAACGGGTAGCTCAAGTTCTTCCCAACCACGGCGAAGAAGCTCGGGTGGCTACAGTCCGTCCCCTTCGCAACCAAGAAGACGAAGAACAGGTGCCAATACGGAGATAGGCAGCACCAGTGCTTCTCAACCAAGAAGAAGAACTGGTAGCTCAAGTGATTCCCAACCACGGCGAAGAAGCCCGGGTGGCTCCAGTCCTTCCCCTTCCCAACCAAGAAGACGAAGAACAGGTACAGCTCCAGTGCTCTCGAGTATACCTGGCTGCCCAGCCTCGTACGTCGACTGCGGGGAGTGCCTTTGCGTTCTTCCGAGCACCTGCAAGTGGTGCCCAGGTGCCTCCCAACCAAGACCAAGAACGGGTAGCTCAAGTTCTTCCCAACCACGGCGAAGAAGCTCGGGTGGCTACAGTCCGTCCCCTTCGCAACCAAGAAGACGAAGAACAGGTGCCAATACGGAGATAGGCAGCACCAGTGCTTCTCAACCAAGAAGAAGAACTGGTAGCTCAAGTGATTCCCAACCACGGCGAAGAAGCCCGGGTGGCTCCAGTCCTTCCCCTTCCCAACCAAGAAGACGAAGAACAGGTACAGCTCCAGGTATGCTCTCGAGTATACCTGACTGCCCAGCCTCCTACCGCGACTGTGGCACGTGCCTTTGTGTTCCTCCCAGCAGCTGCCCATGGTGCCCGGGTGGTTCCACAACGACAAAGGCTCCCATCAACTTGGATATACCGCCCGGCACTTCAAACTCTGTTGACCTCATCACTGAGAAGCTGGTGGCGCCTCCAAACTCATCCATGGATCCCTTGTTAATTGTAACTGTAGCTGTGGTGCTGCTGCTTGTGTCCTGCGGTGCATTTGGTGCTGGGTGCTTGTGGAAGCGCCACCAAGAGAAGAAAAATGTGGACGGAGCCAATCCAGATTTGGAACTCCAACCTGCAGCTGGACACGGCCAAGTAGCTCTGCCAAGACAGCCACAATCTCCAACCAAGCCTAGTCTGTTGGCTTTGATTCCAACCTCCTCTGTCAGAAAAGTGCTGCCTCCATCGGTGCAATGTTCAGGCCAGATCTCAGCCCAATGGCCTCGCAGAAAAGTCGCATTTTTCACGGTTGAGTCCGGGTCCTTCAAAGCCTTTGGACATCGGTATTCGATTGAGCACCCAGATGAGCCACAGCTGACCAAGTTCCATTGGGCAGATGGAACTTTGCAGACCTTGGGCCGCGTGGATCGGAACACCATCGAGTGGCAGACAAATCATTCGAATCCTGAGTGGCAACGCTTCCTTTGGGTGTGTGCCTTCTTCCCAAATTAGCTGACAAATTGCTGCAAAGGTTCAACACTTGACCTTTGTTAAGAGTGGTCATTGCTTTGGTTGCCAGGTACTCCTGAGTGCACGCATGGTTCTACATCACATGCGACGGAATTCTCTGCATCCAGCCACTTTAGATGCAGACCAAGTGATGCTTGAAGGGTTCCTGTTTTGTATGTGGGTTGGACTTTCTTCACCCTTGTTCCACAGTTCCGAACTTGTCCCTTTTTGTGGCATGTACAGCATTAGAGTGTTTTGCAAACATGCCGAACATTTTGAATGGAAGTATCTTACAAGAAATCTACAGGTAGTTTTCAAGTATATTCTAAAACAGTGTCTTTGCAAGTTGTTCCTGCATTAGTCTCTGACACTAGTTTTTTAAAATGCATCCTGTAAAAACATCCGCAAAAGTGTCGTAAAACGGCGTCCTTCAAAAGTGTCTTGTCAGAGGGTGTCTTGCAACACGTTTTAGCAGAGTGTGCTGGGGACACTGAGGCTACAAGTGCTCTATTTGCAGGTCATCTGGGAACGAAAAACACTGGCAGTGCGTCGAGCACAATGTCCATTTTTGCTGCAATTGTGCAGTGCCGCCTCTGAAGCCGCCTACTCTTGGGGTTACTTGGCAAAAGGAATCCTTTCTTGGGTGCTACTTTTACCAATAGGGATGAACCAGGGTTTTCCTCGAATGAACCAGGGCTTTCCTCGAACATGTGTGTTGATAGATAGTATTGAGCAAGCAAAGAAATTTTCTTGTACATCTAGATCCGAAAGAACCACACCAACATCCACTTTTGGCTCCGGCAGGTTTCCGTCAGATATGTTGTGGATGTTTTTCCACCTCTCGCCCGAAGTGCTACTGGCGCACAGAACCCCGATTTCTATGCGATGTGCCCACGCTTGGCCTTGGGAGAGCACGGTTTGGGTTTCAGGACACTCGGAGATTGCTGAAGATGTGGTTTGGGATTTGCATTTTCCATTGCTATGTTTGTTTGCCGGCAGTCAATACCCTTAAACAGCATCTGAAAAAACACGTTATTCGCTTCAAAACCAGACCAAACACTAGAGTTCGATTCTCAGGAAGACTTGTCCGAGAGATGGTCGACCCAATTGCAGCCTGCTGGATGCCCTGGAAGACCAGCGACTTGACATTTCGCTCCGCGATTCCAGTGGTTTGCATCCAAAACAAACTGATGTAAAAATCAGTTGTTTCCAGCAAGAGCCGCAAGAACTTATCTTCACCCCAATATAAAGCAATCTTCAAACTATGCAACTATATGAGTTGGGAGATTTACTATGAAGGGGGGCAAGGGATCACGTGATGCGACAGCAGGTACAGTGGCAAGGTGACCCACTTCGTCTCCTGGTGCTGGGGCTACACACTCCAAGACTTTGTGAGCGCAGTCAGTGCCTGGCTACGGAGGTCTCAACTGACTCCTGACGATGTCTTCCTTTGGGTTTGCTTCTTTTGCAACAACCAGTGCCTTTGGCCGTTTGGGTTTGTTTGGGTTTGTGTGTTTCTTTGCTACAGCTCAACATGGAAAGTTGGATCATGGATGATCATGGCAGGAAAATCACCAGTCATTTTATTCTGGGCCCTTGCCCCAGTTGAGCCCTGTTTATGGTGCTGAGGTATAGGATCATGGACGAGGGCACCAAGACTGGAAGTGATGAGTTGAAAGCTGTCTTCGAAACGCATTTGGCTGAAGCTGGACAAATGTTTTTTGATGGCAAGCAGGCTTCAATTGCAATGCGGGGAGCGCGGATACTTTCTCATTTTTTGTTCAGCGAAACTTTCGCAAACTCTTAGGACTATCAACTTCCCATTTCTCATCATTTGGAAGAGGGCCCCCCTGCGCCCATGGGCCTGAACCGGCTACGACTACTCGGTCCCGCAACTTCCCTACACCTTGTCATTTTCTCCATCCGTTTTATTCATTGCTCACCATACAAGATCTCAAACAATTAGTTGCTGTCTCTATGCCTCAATGCTACAATGTTAATGCATGTTAATGCTCAATTGCGAGCTCTTCTTCCGATAGCCGAGGATCGTGACCTTGGGAAACGACTTAATTACCTCAAAATTAGAATATCAACCTATTGGCAGATATATTACTCGCTGCTGGGAGTTTGCTGCAGACATGCAGTCCTCATTTGGGAGAATAACGCTGTTTTTTCTCGCAAACTTGCTTTTCTTTTTGAGTTACGAATATTCCCCAAACAGTGTGTCCACCCTGAGGGGTTCTTACGGTCGGAGTAAAGGCCGGTGCTTGATCAGGGTGGTCACTCTGGGCGCGAGCATTTGCTGTAAATTTTCGTATAAAGTGGCTCTTGTGAAATTTCCAAGTGCATTTTGACTGCGCAGGCTCGCACAAAGTGTGCGCCTAGGTTCTGGGCTCGGACACCTTTCCTGTAAATTTCCGTACAAAATGGCTCTTGTCACATGTTGACATGCATTTCGGCTGCGCAGGCACGCACAAAGTGTGGTCCTGGGTCTTAGGATCGGCCCTCCTCCTCAACATCCTCATCCCCCACATCATCATCTTCCTCCTCCTCAACATCATCATTCTTAACATCATCATCTTCTTCCCCCGTCACATCTTCATCCTCCACATCATGCTCCGAGCCATCCTCCTGCACCTCATCATCCTTAACATCATCATCCTCAACATCATCGTCCGCCTCCTCCTCCTCCTCCTCATCATCATCATCATCATCATCATAATACATTATCCTCCCATTCCCCCACACTGTTTGGGGTCTCTTGCCGGGATACTTTTTTCAATCACACTATGGCACCCCAACGCAGGAACAAATCACATTTATATTCCGTGACTTTTCAACTTCAGTTTGTACAAACATGCCCTCATTGGTTTCTGCTTTCATCGTGCGTTGATGTTCCATTGGAACTATTCCAAGGTTGGTCCTGCTGGACAAGGCTTGGTTATGTCTCTTTTTCTTGGACAGGGTCATAGCATCGGTATACCAAGAAGGTCATCAATCAGTGGACCATGATGATTGAAATGACACTGTGGGGGCGCCGTCCAGCTTCTGGGCGGTCTCGCTTTCTTTTCTGGCATTCAGTTGGCACTCCAGATCTGCACCCTGGATTTGCCCTTGCATTTACTGCCGTTAAAGCAGAGTGGAACCGGCTCTGCAGACTTCAAGTGGGGTTGCCAGCAAACAGAATGTGTGGGCCGCAGATCAAACTTGTTTTACAAGAATGGCAGTGGTCCATCACACAGGGAAGCATGTGGGTTTTCCCCGAGGGCTCTTGCCCAACAGGTTGGTGTTCTCTCAAGACATTGAAGAGGTTGGCGAAATCTGCTTGGATGCGTTCCATGTGGAAGCTTGACACCAAAACCACTGAGCCGCTCAGTGGCCAGTTTCCTCTTTTACACATCCAACAACATGGAGTAGGCGAACTTTCTTACTATGAGAAGCGGGTTTTGATTGGCGCAGCCATTGATGCAAGGGTTCTGGAGCGCTTAGGTTCAACAATGGCTTGTCATTGTGGTGAAACAACGCCTAGTAGGGAGCATGTCACTTTCCATTGCGATGTTGCAGCATGGTCTTTACCACTACGGTCCAGTGATGAGCGTCGACTGCTTGTAGCTTTAGTGCCCCAAGCGGAGCATGTTGGTTTTAGTCTGCCTGAGCCGAACATGAAGTTGGTTGAATTTTTGAAGTGCCATCCTTCCAACCATCCTCTGCTGGCTATCGATGGGAGTTGTCTTCTGACTCCTGCTGGGCAAGAAGACTGGCAAAGAGCGAGTTGGGGCATTGCAGCGGTTGATGGGCCTGATTTTCAGGGTCCAGTCGTCGGAGTGGAACAAACACCACATGCGGGCGAAAGATGTGCTTTATTACATGTCTGCTTGGCTTCTCATCTTGCCAACGAACCTGTGCAGATCTTGTGTGACAATAGGGCAGTATTTTTGCGTTTTCAGCGTGGCCTCGAATTTGACCGATGGGCAGGTGACTTGCATTGCTTTTGGCACTACATCCGCAGTTTGGTGATTGCTGGAAGTTCCATTGTGTGGATTCCCTCTCACGGGAAGAATGTGAAGTGGACCCCTCCTCCGGGTCTATCTGCAACTTTGTGTCGTGAGCTCAACGCGCGAGCAGATCGGGCAGCCAACTCGGCCGCCACGAGCTGGAAGGCAGAATTTGCAAAAATGCAAGAACTACATGCGGAGGCGGTGGCATGGTCTACCCATGCCTTTCACTTGCAGGTAAACAACACGATGCGCTTTTGGCGCGCAATGTTGGACATGGAGGATTAAACCTCACTTGGTGACTTGATTCTAAGGTTGGGTTGCTGACCGGTTTCGCCGGTCATGTGTGGAGTGACCGCTCCGCTGCTGGGCAACAAAGGCGTCTTAACTACTTCACTTCTGTGAGGAGCAGGTTGACGTCCGATACCAACAACAACAACAACAACGCCCATTTATATCCCCCCGGGAGGGGGGCGTAGCTATGACCTGGCCTGGCTGCGCGGGAATTAACCCGATATCCGGTTGCTCGACTCCGGATGATAAATACCTCCCTGGTCGGGGGGTGCTATTAGCCACCCCCCGACTATGTCATGGCGCTCAGCGCGAACCTGGAACCTCCAGGCCTGTGGTGTTTACTTTGGCGCCTCGCCAAAGATGATGTGATCCAGGATATTGCAGACGAGGGCTGCTACAGTTTTGGTTGGCGGCTGCTGCAGACGTGGCAGTCGCAACCCGCCAAACGGCGGGAGTTTTGTGGAGCTGAGCGCTTGGCCCGGCTTGTGTGAGGCAGGTGAGCTCGGTTCTTGCTATTGGATGATGAGGCGCTTCCATGGCATGGCACCCTGCGTGCACTTGACGGCTGCTCTGTTTCAGGCCGTCTACCGCAGCTGCCTCTTTGCCTCGGTTGAGCACATTTTCCATTGGCTACCACTGGTTCACTTCAATCCGTGATGGGCGAGGGCCCGTCACTGAATTGAGTGCAGATGGTGTTAGACCATCCGTTAATGTACCCACGCCTTGATGTGAGGCAACTTCTGCTGTGGCGGAAGTATGTTTGGCGATGCCTGTGCGCTGTACCTAGTACAGCATGTTGGTGACTTGATTTTAAGGTTGGGTTGCTGACCGGTTTCGCCGGTCATGTGTGGAGTGACCGCTCCGCTGCTGGGCAACAAAGGCGTCTTAACTACTTCACTTCTGTGAGGAGCAGGTTGACGTCCGATACCAACAACAACAACAACGCCCATTTATATCCGCGGCTACCTGAACGACCTCCGCGCGGTTGCTGCGGGTCTATGCATTGCTTTCAGGCCTAGGCAGTGCACAGAAGCGAACAGTTCAGTTGTGGTGTGTGCTTGTTGTGCTTGCACTGACTTGCCACAGAAGACTTGGGCTGTGTCTTCCAGAACCAGAAATGCTTTGCAACATATCCTTAATGGCAATGGAGCAGGCAGCCGAGCAACAGCTCGAAGACGGAAACAGAAACAAAGCAATGCGCAAGCTAATGGCTTCAATTTGCAACAGGTAGGAGAAATTCTCAAGCTGCTTACCCAGCTCTGCCAATTGTTGGGAATTGGGGGAGGCAGCGGAAAATTGTTTCAGCAACTTAGCACTCTGATGGGTCAAGAAATTGGAGCTGTTGACACCTCCAAAAACAAAGGAGGGAACAAGCCCAAAAAGAGAAAGAAAGAGCGCAAGACACAGGAAGGTGACAATGGTGGTGCGGGCCTTGGCCACAGGAATGCAGCGCTCAATTCTGCCCCAATCACCAATCCTACTAGCACTTCTGCGCAGCTTCCCAATCGCAAACAGGATGCCAACAAGAAACAGCCCACACAAGCATCCAAGTCTTTTGTGGAAGTAGTTCGAACGAACGCACCGTTCAAACCAGTTTGGTGTTTGAGACAGTCGGACTGGACCGGCCAAGTTTTGACTTTTGATTCTTTTTGCAGTGCGTTGGATCAGCCTGGCAATGTGTCAGCAACAGCGCAGTGTGAATCGGAAGAGCAACTGAGTGAGCTCAAAGTTTTGACAGAAGGTGATGCAACAGATCAGACAAGAGAATTGCATGTCTCTGCAGTTTTGTTAGCTCCAAAAGAAGCGAAGCAGATCGACGGCAGACAGTTGAGGCTCATACCTGGCAAAATAGCTGGGAAAGTTCAGCCAAGGCGGGCTTACCTGATAGCCTTGAAAGGAAACGGACCAACACTCAAAAGAGCAGCCGTTGTTTCTGCTGCTCCTGCAGCTCAGACTGAGACGGTGGTTGTGAGGTTGAGCGTTGAAGCAAAGTATTTGTTGAGCAAAGAGTGGCAGAGCATCCAAGCCAAACCAAAGGCTAGCGCTCAGTCATGGTTGCGAAGGCATGTGCCCGCCCACATTGGTGCCAAAGTTTTTGACATGTGGGCTTTCCAAGAGGAGTGCGCGAAGGGTGGTGGCAAGCCGGTCATTACTGGGTTGCTGAGGATTGAGAAAGATGCAGCGAAAGGCTTGCTTTCTTGTTCTGGGAAAAGTCTGTGGTTCGTCGAACCTCTCCAATGGAACAACAGTGTGGTGGAGTCATGTGATGTTGAATGGATCAAGAAAGGTCCTGACCTTGATGGCCCCAGCTATCTTCAAAAGGTCCGAAGTTTGGCAGGTGAGCTTGGCATTGCAAGAGGGTGGGGCGGCTTAGGCGTCCGAAAGCCCAGAGCATCTGACCCGATTCCAAAGCCAAGAGCATGGCGCATTAGTGGTGTGCCCCGAGAATGGTCAGCCAGCACGGTCACTGAAGCGATCACACGTGCTGGCTTGCAAGATCCAAAGATTTTGTCTCGCA